AGGCGGAGGTTGCAGTGAGCCAAGATTGCGCCATTGCACTCCAGTTTAGGCAATGAGAGCAAAACTCCATCTCAAAAAAATAAAAGTAAAAATAAAAAGTAAATGCACGGAAGTTTTAAAAAAACTTTTTGAAGAAAATATTCAGTTAACAGTATAGGTGTGATAAAGATCTTAACAGTGGCATAGGGTGAAACAAATGCTATGATACGGATCCTGGATATGGTCTGTGAATGTCTGAAGGCTGGGAAACTCTGCACTCTAGAAGGGGTCAACTAACTGCAGCCCAGGGGCCGAGTCTGGCCTGCTGCCTGTGTTTACCGATAAAGTTTTATTGGAACGCAGACAGGTCAGCTCATTTATCTATTGTCTGTTGTTACTTCTGCACCAGCAAGGCAAAGGTGAGCGGCTGTCACAGAGACTCCAAGGCCCATGAAATCTAAAATATTTACTCTCTGGCCCTTTACCCAAACAAGTTTGCCAATCCCTGATCTATAGCATGCCGTGAAGTTGTCACAACTCTAGCCGCATGTCCTACTTGCCCCAGGACATGAGGCCAGAGTGTGGAAGAGCAGCTGCCTCCAGGCAACCTACATCTCTCACTAGAAAAACAATCCAGTGTGTGCTCTGGGACACGCACTTCTCTTGCAAGATTCACATCCAGCCTGAGAGTAGCCTTGTCATTACTTTGATACTGGCCTTGAGCTTGACCACGCACTCAGGGAGGGGTCTTAGGCATCGCCGTATCCCCCAGAGTGCACGGCACAGTGCACAGCAAACACAAGAGTTAGGTGAAGCTCATTTCTATCCGGAGACCAGCATAGGGCTTGGAGGCAACAAATGTTCATATTAAATGTCCCCCAGCAGCAGGTGTGCAAAACAACAATCTGCCTAGGTTCTTTAAAAAAAAAAAATTATCTTCTTGGCTTTTTCCCCCACAGCAGCATCAGGCACATAAACAATACACAGACTGCCTCTCCGAGATGGATGGCTCATGTTCAGTAATTATAACTTTGCTGGAACATTGGATTATAATCACCTCACAAGCTCTGCTTTGGTAAATTTCACAAGCAAAGAACTTTCATTAGGGGGTTTTATTAGCAAAGCTATATAAAATAAAAATGTAATATGTGAAAATGATTATAGTAGCTACCTGAATAACCTCCCTTAAATTATAAGATTCATCAGTGATAGTCTTGCAGATCCTAAACTCTTCATCTAATTAGAATATTTTTAAGCAAACGCATGTCTCTTAAGGTCCAGTATCTCTAAATGAGAACGTCAGGTGTCGTCTAACCAAGAAAGATATCATCATGAAAAAAAAAAAAAAAATAGAGATAACATCAGAAGATACTATTAACCTGCCATTAGTAGGGCCGACATTTTTATTCATTCATTAATTCACATAACAATGGAGTGTATTTATATGAAGGTGTATTTATAGGCGAGGCTCTTAGATGATACAAAGATGAAATGGGCGTGGAACTTTCCTCTCAAAGAGCCTCGATGAGGAAACTGTGTGTTCAGTTAACCCCTCTACTTGGGATGTTAATAAATGTTCGTGGTAGGAAAGAGGTAGGGAAGACGGGAAGTTTATGTAAGTACGGAAACCACTAAGTTCAACAAAGTTATAAATTGTCCTTTACCTTGAGGGTTCTTAAAGCCTTTAAAACGTCCCCACACAAGTGACAATGCCTCCCCAGGTCATTTGCTCACGGAGTACACCATTAGACCAGCATTCACGGAACACACTTTGAGAAACATGATTCCGGCCAGTTAACTCCAAAGCAACGTGTGAGTGCTACCAAAGACAGAGGCTGAGCAGTGGTGTGCTGGCAAATTTTGAGTCACTGGCTCTCCAAAGGAGGAAGATAGAAACCCTGGTGTTTGCCAATTTCCATAGAGTAAATACTTCCACCACGGTTGACTTCAAGCTGCCAACATGACGTCACGCGGGACAGAGTCGTGAAGAGACGCACCCACCTATTCATCACATCACTCAAGTTCGGGGAGAAAAAGTTCATTCCCACTGGGGAGAAATTTGGGCAAGGAGAGAGCAGCCTATGCTCCTCCATTCCCTCGACCTAGTCTGGTTTTTCTTATAACCAGCAGCCCATAAATCCATATAAGCCGAGGCAGCCGGGAAGAGTGAGAATTTGCTATATGAAAAAAATGACATCACTGTGTAAGGACGTGCAGGCCTTTTTGTAAGAAGTAGCCTTGCTGGAAAGTTCTGCCACCTCCAGTCTAATTCATACCTTAAATGGGACCGTTGTATTCCAAATGCTTAAGAACGCAGGTCAGGGCTCCCGCGTTCAGGGTGGGGATAAAAAGAGTCGTAAGTGAGAAACCACGGGACACGGTCACCGGTATGGACGGTGTTGCTTACCTGCCTGGCTTTTTGATAAATGACTCCGAATTTGAATGTGTTGTTGACTTCATGCTCATCATAGGACACAATCATCTGGGAGGCCTGGAAAATGTGGCAAGAAAAAAAATCAACATTGGTTCAATTAGGAAGCAAGAAAGAAAGCACATGGGAGGAGAAGCACCCATTTGGGCAGAGAATGTGTCCCCGGGTATGAAACCTCCACATACACGGAGGGAAAGAAATAGTAAGGAGACAGTCAGGCGGCAGCTCCAGAGTCAGCTAGCTTCTAGAACTTGGGCTTCTCCAGTAGGAACCAAACCACTGTATCGCTCATTCCACTCCCACCCAGATGTGCCAGCCAAAGCTCGGGGGCACATGTGTCCAGCAGTTTATTTGACCCCCGTGTTGAATCTGTGGTGTCAAAAGTGAAGCCAGAACCCCGAAACTGGTCAGCAAGGATAACTGTAGGCCTAATTCCACCTCCAACCAGCAGCGCGATTCTCAGCAAGTCACCGCTCCCGACCACACGTCAATCCCCTCCGCATGAAATGAGAGGTCCCTGAGGAGAACACGCTAAGGAGGAACATACCCCAATACAATAGGCAAAGAAGGAATGTTTACAACCTGACTCATGCCCTGTCTCATTTTCCATCACGCATCACAGAGGTGATGACTGAGATCAGAAAAATTAAACTCCAGGTATTTTTGGGGTTTTTTTGTTCGTTTGTTTTTGAGATGGAGTCTCGCTCTGTCTCCCAGGCTGGAGTGCAGTGGCATGGTCTCGGCTCACTGCAACCTCCGCCTCCCGGGTTCAAGCGAGTCTCCTGCCTCAGCCTCCCGAGTAGTTGCGATTACAGGTCCCCACCATCACGCCGGCTAATTTTTGTATTTTTAGTAGAGACGAGGTTTCACCATGTTGGCCAGGCTGGTCTCGAACTCGTGACCTCGTGATCTGCCCACCTTGGCCTCCCAAAGTCCTGAGGTTACAGGCGTGAGCTACCATGCCCGGCCTAAACTTCAGCTTTGAATCCACTGTTTTTACCTATGTAGCTTTGAGTGAGCTGCTTCTCTGGCACTCAGTTTCCTTTTCTTTTTTTTTTCTTTTCTTTTTTTTTTTTTTTGAGACAGAGTCTTGCTCTGTTGCCCAGGCTGGAGTGCAGTGGCCGGATCTCAGCTCACTGCAAGCTCCACCTCCCGGGTTCACGCCATTCTCCTGCCTCAGCCTCCCGAGTAGCTGGGACTACAGATGCCCGCCATCTCGCCCGGCTAGTTTTTTGTACTTTTAGTAGAGACGGGGTTTCACTGTGTTGGCCAGGACGGTCTCGATCTTCTGACCTTGTGATCCGCCCGTCTCGGCCCCCCAAAGTGCTGGGATTACAGGCTTGAGCCACCGCGCCTGGCAGTTTCCTCTTCTGTTAAATGCAGATGTGTGGTTATGAAGATTCAACAAGAAAGAACTGAGCACAGAACAGCTAGCATTACCATCATCATCAACAGCTATATGACCCTCCAGAAATATCAGAGCTGAACCAGCTTACTGGGGAAGAAAAGATTTGGGAGCTGTTGGGATAATCTCAGCAATAAAAAGGAGGGATTCTCAGTGTGGAGACTTGAAACTTGAAGGTCCCTTCCAACTTTTACATTAAAAATAAAAAGACAAGAGAATTGAGTACCATTTTTCACCTGTGCAAGGAATACGAATGGATCGTCTTAAAACTGGTCTAGGAAAGCAACCTTGGTGGGTGTTATGGACAATTAGCTGTTAAAATTATTTTAAGTTATCTGTGTTTAGCAGAGTACTTTCAACTTGAGTGATCTGAGCTGAATTTGAAGACTATTAATAAGTTATGTTTGGAAGTTTTAACTTCAACGAAGTAATCATTTGCTACGAAAGACACAAACATTACATTACTGAACAAAGATGGCGCAATTTCTTTGTTGTTGTTTTGTTTTGTTTTTTATGAGGCTCCCGAGAATCAACCCAACTAACGCATTTCAATTCACTTGAATGAGAAACGTGTTTAGTATCAAAAGAGCCCAAGAAGGCACTGGGGTGAAAGGTTCAATCTCAGAGTTTGGTCCATTACCGTGGTGTGCTTTCTGGTCACTTTGCACAATGTAGATTTGAAGTACAGTGGTGACAACATGAAATGTGACGTTTGAAAAAAAAAAAAAAGGAGGGATTCAACCACACGTTCTGCGAGAGGAAGAACACACCAGGAACAACTTATTGCCTGGAATCTGTGGCCTGTGTGAAGTTGCCACACACTGTGTATCTCTGGGAGGCTCTCAGCTGTCAGCTGTCTGGGGAAACGGACGCTTCGCAGCTCCCCCCGCGAGGGCGCTTGGAGCCTCCCTCCACTCCTGCCTGGGTGAGTCACAGGGGAGGAACAGCTGCCCTGCCAGGGAGAGGCACCAGGCCATGGACAACTTCCAAAGGACGTTCTAAACTCTGCAAATTTTAAAAACACACACATGTGTGCATCTCAGCCAGATGTACATCCCAGCTGGACTCAGCGGTCCTTCAAATATAGAAAACATGAAAATACAGCTGCTCTTCCATTACTACCAAGGCCCGAGGCTTTCCAAGCGATAGAGAGAACTGGGCAAATAAACACCATTGGTTCTCTCGGTGGCTATGAGTTGACAACCAAAATTGCCAAACCTGTAGTTAAGTTAGACCTTTATGATGAGGTTTTAATGTTTGGTTAAACCCCACTCATTCAGTTGTCATTATAAAGGGGAGGTCAGTCTCAATGAGAGAAAATGTTCAATGAAGTGTAGCATGCTGCCGGTATCAACAGATGCTAAAATAGCGCAACAGAGGCACGTGGAAGATGAAAGGCTCTGTGCAGGAGAGGACTCCGCCATTCGCTCAGCCGCTGCAGATGGATACATGGCTGCTTCTGAGAGTGACATGCCAATCATGAACACTGAAAGCATTTGTTCCAGCCAGGCGCGGTGGCGCACGCCTGTCATCCCAGCACTTTGGGAGGCTGAGGAGGGCAGATCACCTGAGGTCAGTTCGAGACC